CAAAAAGGCACTTACGGTTAGTAGCACAGAAACGGAAATCAACACCGCCTCATAATCTTCATGAATGGCTCTCAGTCATGAAAGTGTAAGAGAGACAAATGTTCCAAAGATTACGAAACTAATTTCTATTAATAAATCTTCAAAAGTGCAGGACAACTGACGGCTTATCGTCTGTTAAATTCGTCCTGCAGCCTTGCTGACTGTGATCCACTTTTCCCATGGGATATTTTGCCCGTTTCACTGTATCACTGACGTTACTTTGCGCGTAACTTTTTCTTTACGATCCTATCTATTAAAATACATTATAATATATGTATTAAATAGAAAACCAAATGGTGGCTTATCGAATAATATACCAGGCTACATTGAAAGAGCGTCGCCATTATACCGGAGCAAGAACAATTCTGAAGATAATAGTGATTTAACTGATATTAGCGTTAAGGATATGATAAGAGTGATATCATAAATATGCGCTACCTACTTGTTTAAACTCTGATAGCCTTTGATGACAATGATACAAGCAATACGAATAAAGTGATATATGAAAAGCACTCGATTTCACGATAGATTATGTCACACAACATAAGTAAAAGCAGCAGGGCTGCTGGTTAAGGGAAAATCATCACAAAATGAATGTCAGTGAACAACTGCCTGCACGATGCACGTGTCTATGAGATGACACCAGAAGATGGGGCGATGATCGGATGACCTGATCGACGAAGATTTAACCTAAGCCAAACTATAAAACCATTGCTTCTGCTGCTTAAAATATTGAAGACATTCAGAAAAGTTTATTACAAAGGCTATGACTGGTAAAGCATTTTTTTCGAAAAACGAACGGATAACATACAATATCCCTCCGTTAACCACTTCATTAACTATTCCTGGACAATTGCTAAAAGATAGGTACGTTTATGTATCATCACATGAATGGAATTATGCTTGACATCTTCAGTGTACAAAAATTACATAACACCAGCACACAATCGATGGAAATTCAACTTAAGTTTAAAATCGACTAGAATTAGTTTACACCAATACCACCGCAGAGAATGAGGGACTTAATACACTGAGTAAACAGCAAATTCGCTTCTCTGCCTTGATTCTAGAAGCCTAAAAGGAGGGGGTATATAATGCTCTATGTTATGTTCTATGTTTATTTACGTGCGGAAACACAACAGCATCACAATGTTAGCTCAAACAGCAGAGATGTTCATGCAATCAATGGGAGGGGAGGAGTGATTCGAGCGACATACATTTCGTAACACAAAAGAGAATGTTACGGCTGTCACAATCACGCGTTTGGCGGGGTCCAGTAATGACGGCCCGGATCACTGCACTCCATTTTTGTTAATCAAGCCCAATGACTGCCATCAAGTTCAGCCAACCATTCTTCCACCATTTGTACCCGTACACTACCGGCCAAGAGAAAACTTCAACCTCAACTCTGAGATAGTATCTCACTAGAAGTTCGCCTCTCTTCCTCCTCCAACGATGGGTCTGGGTGGCCTTCGATGTGATATCCGATGGACGCCTCATGGCATGCCCTAGTCAAAGCAGTCGCCGTTCTTTCAGGACAGTAGAGAGTTAGATGTTGTAAAGGGCAGGGAATGTAACGTTTGATAATGATCATAAATCCATACATACGGTTGCAGGATGATTCGAAAGCATCTCGATCGAAGAATTCCATGCTTCTCATGTCTTCGACTCCTAAGATCAAGTTTTTACATCCGTAAAGGAAAATGGAGCAGACAGCATCCTGCAGAAGTCATAAATTCGTCCTCAGACTGGCTGATTTCCCATCAGAGTGGCTTGCAGAACTGAAGGAAAGCTCTCTTTATAGAAATGCTTTTGAACAGGAAAGTACTCTTTCTACTCCATCAGTCGTGAGGCACAAATCCTTAATACGACGGGATTCAAAACTTCACAAAGCGTTACTTCATCTGCATTCAGTGATCGCAGATCTTCAACGCATATGCTGGCCGACTCAGTAGTCACTAGTTTTGATACTTGTGTATTCCTTGAGTTTCGCTTGCAATGGAGTCCAATATTAAGCAGATGAACAACTCCAATATTTCGACTATATTGGTGCGCGGTAGCACAATGGCAAAGAAGGTCGGCTTGTAACTGCAGATGCCGACTTCCACTCCGCTAAACGGACAACCTTTGGGGTATCAGCAAATTCCTTTGGGCAAGGAATTAACCCAAAGTTGTTTCGGCGTAACCAGTCGAGAAACGGTAAATCGATTATTTAAGAAATGCAGGGAGAACATGGTATTATTGTATGGTCGTATGAGAATGGATCAGGTACACGGTGTTGTCCGATGCGAGTCCCCCTCCCAAGTGGCTGCATTTCTCTAAGGCCCATCTGACTGCTGACTAAACATTATAATAATCAGACCAAGAAGGAACTCTGATTTTCAATTAAATATACAAATCACGAATTAATAATTCAGAAATTAATTGCGATTAAATGAGCGAGCCTGAACTACACTGTTAGGGTCGCTTAATTAACGCTCAGACCTCGACCCAGTGACCGAATGACAGTGCACTGACATAGACATGCCAGATACTCGGCACGTTTCTTCTGCCAAGTCATAGTCAGTTGATATCAAGTGTTGATGACGGTGGAAAAACTTATCGATCTTATCGACTTACCAACATAAGCTAGTTTTTGATACCGCCATTAAGAAAAACATTTTTCTTTTACTGCCGGATTTAAACAGCGTACAATCACCGACCCGCTGCTTCTAACAGCTTTGGGGACCATTTAAGCAGGCCGCGACTCCACGGTATTCATGCATGAGGAAATGCAGAACCATGATGAAACGGATATCATCGACGACATGTGAGAGAAACAATCCGCAACATCCAATGACAGCAAACGGTACTGTGACGTAGTTACTGTACACCAAAACAGTTGAATACTAAATAACTTAATCATTGTGCGCATCACCTTTAAATTTCGGACTCTGGCCATATGGGCGAGGTAACAGTTACCGTCCGTTGAGGTTAAACACGGGCTTAAGCAGCGCGAATAAATCCTCTCAGCGCTGCAACGAAGCAAGTACTAATACCAGAGTTTGTTTCGAAAAACTAGTCAACATGGTCATTAACATGGACGTGTGGGAAAATTACAAAAAAAGATAATCATGGAATGTACAAAAAACAACAATCACATGATACAGTATTGCGTGTTTACTTAAAAGACTGGGTACACATGCCCTTTGGAGGACGGCTACGCCACCAAAGGGCTGATTTTACGTTAAATCGGAATTAGGAGCATAGAGTCACTTTCGAAGCATAAACGTATGTGCAATCATTGTCACGTCAGTGACGGAGGTCTTCCACGTACCTGTACTACCTTTTTCCTATAGCTGTTTCGTGCCTGATCGAATGGGTCAAGAAGCAATGAAGATTTTCAGACACACACCAGTTTTATTCTGGTGATGACGTCGAGTTTCTGCAATTTTCTCTCAAAAATGGCGAGCGAATTCTTAATAACTGACAACCAACCGTCATCAAATCAGTTCGATTTAAAAAGTTCGTCAGTCGACAAAAGGTGCTTCAAAACATTAAGCAAAGTATGCATTTCACATTAAACTGACAAGTGATATACTTTAAACAAGTTTACGATATTTCATTACACCACGACCCAACTGACTTACAAAGGAAGCATAATACTGGATCGCTTTATTACGACGAACTAATTTTGCCGTAATGAAAAGATGGTAGAAGTGCAGGTTAGCTGCCAAAACAAGATGATATTCTTTGGCGATCTTTAACCGCCGGTTTATCACAGTGTTAATATATGCATTGAGCTGCTTTGCCAACTACCGCTCATGGATATCGTGCGTATTTTAAACCCGATTGGTTAACGTTGTAGGCGTGGTCATTTAAGGCTAAGCTGATCTGGAAAAGCTGTTTCGCGCATCTGCATATGTAACTGATTTAAGTGGGTTCGCAGTTCCTGATGAGACACTGGGCTTTACAACAAACTTTCATGCTTTAAAATGAGGCTTCTTATTAGTAACTTATGCCATAAACATAACTGGGGTTAAATCATGTGCTGATTATTACACTGGATCATTAGCTGTCATGTGGTTCAGGGCGAAATGCAGCCAAATTGGCGTTCATATCGGACAAGGTGGCTTTACGCCTCGTTCCTTCTGGCATGATGCGACAAGAATAACATAATGTTGCTGTTTTTTGCAAGTAGCCGAATTACTGCCCGTTTCTCGACTCGTTGCCCCTAAACAATGTGAGGTCATTGTCTTACTAAAGAAATGAGCGATAAACCCGCACCTTGAGTTCAAGACTGTCTTCCTTGCCACGCTTCAATGAAATATTTTTTAATTGATGTTTACGCTCTGTGCTGATTTTCAGTCAGTTATCAGGCGAGTAAAGGTAAACTGCAGCCGTAGAACGCATACATCAGACAGTACGGTATACGTCGCATTCTTTTGATGACCACATCAATGCATTATGCTGTCCCTGTTATTCGCAGGTTAAATTCTCCTAAACTGTAGACGAAATACTGGCCATCAGCATCCGCTATCCAATTAAGACGCTAGATAATTTCTCCCTATCTTCTGCCGAGTTACTGTCGAGACTACCCATGAATTATACCTTAAAAT